GACGCCTCTCTATTTTAAATGGAAATATTCACTCTCTGTTTATCCTACTGGATGACAGGGTAACATGTCATTCAACCCCATGACCACATCACCCAAAATAATAAACTTAAAAAGTCTTTATTTACTTCTACTAATGCTAAAAGTCGCAGTAGGGTCGTAAGTGCTAAAGGCGAGCAGAGTTCTAACTTTTCTTGCTCACGGAAGTTCCTCCCTCGATATTCACTTGCGACTCCGGTAATCGTGTTACTCGATTAACTTGTGGACAGGTTCTTTTATACAATTAACCACTTATTGACTTGGAAAAAATCCTTTCTTTTTCCCTCCAATGCGTTTAATCCACTTTCTTTCGTTAAAAATTTAAAAGAAACTCTTGTTCAACACGAGTATTACTCGAATAGCTCCAGTTAATCTTACTGTGAACACAGGCTACACTCCTGAGGTATACCTCTATTTATATTAGGTAGATGTTGGTGCGCAACGGAATATCAAAGAGATAAGGCGCAAAGTTGCCACGGATGGGGCGCTATTGGCTCGCAAACAAACTTGCAATATAAATCATGTAGCCAATAAAATCAATTATGAGATAGCGACGAGAAAGTTATTTATAACGCAAACTGATAATCCGAAAAACATCCCCCCGATTTAACCAACAACAGTATTGTTAACAAGAGAGTTAAAGAAAATAGTGATAATGTGAGTTTTATGCCCTCACGACCTTACATTACTTTCCAATCAAACTTGTACAATAAAGTTGCTACGACTAAAACACCTAATCAAGCTAGCGTGAGCCTTAAGAGACGGGGCGGAACTTTTGGGGAACTTTTCGGGGATCCAATCAGCATACATAAATCGCTAAATGGAGTAACCGTCGATGGAGTCGACAAGAATGAAGTTACTTGGTATACATGAGTAAACATGTACAATTGAACGCGGGTGGCGCGATCACTTCCCGTTTATAACTTTTGCCCCTTCGGCTTAGATTTTAAGCCATTTCAAGCAAGTCGTGAAACTAAACCAGATATTGGGTTAGAACATTAGCAGGGAATGAAACTTAAGTTGCAAAACATAGTGCAAAACTAAAACCTTATGCGAAAAATTCCAGTGAAAGATATATGGTTTGTTTTTGTCGTTCCATTATGGAAGTTTGCCGTAGCGATTTTCAGTTCGCGTCAACGTGGCCGGGCCAAATATATTGCTGTTTGCAGTGCAGACTTTCTGTTTTCACATGTCACGGTTTGAGTTCGCAACTTGTACTCTGAACGAGACCAACCAACGCCGTACCGCTCCTTGGCCCGACCACGAGTCCTTGATAAGCTTTCTTCGTGTTTTTAAACTTTAAATCCCAAAGTTCTGCCACAAATTATTCGGCTCCCACAAAACTTTGGACTTGTTGATTTACTTTATAACCACGAATATACTAATTTATGTTGTAAATACACACGAAGGCAATGTTTGTCTACCTATATACAGCGGTAATTTTCTTGAGCAACATTCGCCGTTCTCTGGTATAATGGTGCCATTAAAACGCCACCCACAAGTGTAGAGCAAATTGCATTTGCCGACATGGGTTCGTATTTTACAATCAAATGTTGATTTGCACCGAGCTGCCAACACTGCATTAGGGTACATAAATTTGCTTACTTAAACGATAAACTAATGCGAGGAAAGGTTTAACACGAAATTGTTTTGAAAGGTAACCAGCAGTCTTCAATGGTAATTTATTGTCTCGCTACCGTAGTATAATAATTCAATTTCAGACTCAGAGGCTTAAAAGTTATATTGGTATCAATTTGAAGTTATATCCTAGCGAGACTGAATGGTAACTCAAAGTGGGAATGTTCTGTGAATTCTCTACATTCCAAAACAAAGCGTTTCGTGAGTAACAGTTGTAAAAAAAACAGCGTTATTGTAGACAAACACGAAGGAAAAGTTAGCGCCAAACTTGTGCAAGGCGCCTTTTCTTTGTAGGAAGTGCTTGAAGTAAATTAAAATGAAGTGAAGCTGGTTTTTCAGTACCAATGGTATAATCTAACAATCGGTTTGGAGAATGGACAATCACAAGGCAGCAATAAAGGCACACGGAGGCGTGAGGCAACCTTGGCCGAAGAGAACTGTTGCCTTACCTTGCCCGGCAACGAATGACTTTGTTACATGTTCCACATTACAAAAAATCAAATAAAAACTAACTCAAGTCCGCAGTTTGCTTGCCGCACAAACTATAATGACCCAAAACTCCGCCCTTAGTTAATTATGTTTTTTTTTATAAAGCAACAGGAACATTTTTCGTTATTTCATTCTATCTTTTGTTGTAAACCTTTTTTACGTGTTTTTAGCTACGTTACATGGTCAATAATGGTAATTTTGTTTCAAAATGAGACTGATTTCTCAATACTACAATCGATTGAATGGTAGGTACATAATAAATCGTTGCAATTAAGTTTTTCATCCAATATCATCTCGTAATGACTAATTTGTACTAATTAATGCAATTGTAATACAATTGTAGTGTACTTATTGTATTGGTAATCGTTTCCTTGTTTTACAAAACATTTTTGTGTACAACAGACGGTCGCAAAAGTCATACCAAGGGAAATTTGCAACAGACAGTGGTGGTACCTAACGATGATGAATAAGCGTTTCCCTGAAACGAAACGCGGTAGATACATGAAAATCGCCGGCGCAAATGACCTAAGATTACAATAATTTCCTAGTAACGAACGAGTGTGACACAGGCTGACTCTGTGCGCGTGACACGGATGAGTCTGTGCGAGCGATACAGCAGCAATATGGTAACACCTCGCACGCAGAGGGCACTACACGCTGGAAAGGCCACGCACACACGCGCGTAGGATGACTAAAAATATTACAAGTTGACATTGAAATGTTAATGCACTCTCGGGGTTCGATGTCGTATTTTACGGGCATTTTGCTTTTGAATCCGCTATAAAATCACAAGTATTATTTTATTTTTATCGATTGTTTTGACCGTACGGCTTCATCGACACGCGGTATCGCTTGATGCAATAATGCGAAAAATTGATATTGGTGTCAATGCTCTCGGCGATACTTGCATTACACGTAATCTGCGTCCGCGAGCTGTGAACTAACTAGAACTTTGTACTAACTACTAACTAACTAATATCATTTTATTTTACAACCATGACACTTGTGTTATCTTTTTCCTCCGCTATAAAATTATAAATGTCACAGAAGTCGTTATTGTAAATTTATTCATATATAACATCTTCGAGCATGAATATACGCGTGTTTAATTATGCTTTGCAGTGTAACTTGACTGTAGGTAATACATACGTGACTAGGAGCATTCGCAAAGCGTTTATCACTCAATAATTTGCTATCATTTCGTTTATTTCTTGTTATTATTGTTAAAATAACAATATTATTGCTACCAATTGCATTTAAATCATTATTTTCTCGTGCTCCGTCGTTTTGCTTTCTTATTACGTTTGTTATTTTGTTGTTATTAAAGTTTAGAGGTACTTAAATAGCTCCTAAATAACGCGAAGTTCCGTAAACAAAATGATGTGTTTGGCTCACTGAATAACTAAATAAACTTGCTGTAAATATGATGGTAGTATCTAGAACTACACATATAACTATGTCCCGGGTGTCTGTTTAGCTGTTGTTATATCGAGTTCAATCATATCAGTGTTTAAAGAGAGTAACGTTTTTGCGATTATCTTTGCAATATTTAGGCCAAGCCTTATTCGCGTTCTGGAATTCTTCAGTTAATAACATTAAATTATCGAGATACAAATTTAAGATTTTTCCGCATTGGATTAAATGTTTATCGTCGTGTTTACCAGCGCGTGGCATTTATTATCGTATTGCGTTCTATTGTTTATCTTGTCTCTTTTTTTAATCGAGTTTAAACAGCAACTCGCTTAAATTGCGATTTACCTATTTTCAGCTAACGCTTTAGTTTTGTTTTAACTTTAGAATACTTAACTGTTTCGAGACTATTAAACCCTAAATAACAATTTTTAATTTTTGTTACTTCCAGTTAAATATAATTCTAAAATTCAGCTCGTGTAATTACTCGTACATTTTACGATACAAGGAAAACCAAAGCACGTGTCTTTATACAGATAAATTGAATCACTCTGCCTGTGGTTATGTTTACATCGGTTTTCGGATTACGTTTGAAATGTCTGAAAGGGATCGATAAAAACATGTTTACAAAATAAAAACCTGTACCCTATATTGTTGTGTCGGGTTTTCAAGTGATAAAATTATATTGCGCGTCACTTTTGTTTTTAACATATTCAGTACACGTGTGACTGCGTTTTTACTATTTTTGTTTCAGGGTTCTTTAACTTCGCAATGCCAATGGCAAGGCAAATATTCCGTCCATTTTTCAGCGAAAGGGAAAATTCTGACCTATTATTACACTTACACAGCCGCGACCGTCTTTTTTAAAACCTTTTTTAGTTAAAACCGTGAAGTTTAAAAAACAGACAGTATTTATAGAAATTCTCTATTTTTTGCTTTTAATTGGATAGGTCTTTGATACTTCGCTTCATTTTTCATTTTATTTTAGAATTTTGTTTAAAAGCACATTTTCGTCATAAAGCGTTTTTTTTTTAAATTCCATTTCAGATTTTTTGTAAAGTAACGGATTTATGAGTTATTTTCTTAAATATCAAAGTAAACAAACATAAGTAAATAAATATACGAGCACAGCTGATATTGCGCATTTTACACTTAAACTTTTACACCAAAAATGTGACGCATTTAATTTTTTCTTAATCTTTCAAATTATTTAGATCGATTTTTTTTATTAGAAGAAACAATTGTGTAATTTTTTGGTTTTGCGAAGCGAAAATTATATTCTATTTTAAGTTTCTAAATTTTAAAATTGTCACAAGTTTCGGGTTTTTTTTAATTTTGTGTGTATTTTGAAAAGTTTTTCGACTTTTTTTCTTAGGTTTTATTTTTACGTTTTTGTCGATATGTGGGCTTTGTAATTTTTCACTGACCTGTGTGGCATCCGTGTACGGCGTAGATGAGTTCTTGTCGACAAGCTGAGAGCCGAACACCGGCAAGCCGTTCGAGGAGCCGGTTGGCGACAGCGAGCGCACATCCGAAATTTGTTGGGGTACCATTTTCATGTATCCAGAGACCCCGCAAGTTAACACAACACAGTTCACCTTATTGCACTTAATTTACACTAACGACTAATTTGTTCAAGTTCAAAAAAGTTTATAATATTTTATAGCAGTCCAAAAGGTGCTACGAGGAGCCTCTGCTTGTTTCCGTGCCGAAGCCTCTCGGCAGCCGATGCTCCGGAGACTTCCCAATACCTGGAGACTATCCTCAGGGCTTTCTCCTCTTGAACGAGATATCTACTGCTTTCTTCTTCCTCGGCGATTAATCCAAAAGTCATAATTTTAGCGGGTCCCGACCGCAGCTCAGTTAGCACTGCGGGGCGATCGTGGCATAATCAATTGAAGTCGTCGTAAGATCACAGCTAACTAGTGGATGCGGCTACGTTCGCACTCCGCGGTGACAGCGAACCTACTGACTGGTCGACAACGTGCGGAGTGCTGTCAATATACCCGCGCGCTCAGCTGTTCGCCCCTGCCCCGCGCCGCGCAAGCGCCCGCGCTCCCCCGCCGCGCACTCGCGCTCTGACGCCCGGTGCGAGATCACGTCGTCCGGCGCTGGGGCCGCGCTGGCCATATCTCACTCGGCTCCCCGAGGACCGGTCCGACCGGTCGCCGTCTAATGACCGCCGCTCCGCTCTATCCGCAACACCCGAACTCGAGCCGTGGCCGCTTAACCGTAACCCACAGCATGGCTCACGGTGGCCGTTTAAAATGCTAATTTCACAAACACAACACTTTGTTCCCTCATTTGAAAACATTTTTCTACTGCATCTAGCAGCTATCGGTGGCGGTTTACTGATGCCATTCGATTTATTGTCGGCTATAATTTATTGAAAAACACGAGGTTTATTTTTTATGTTCATTGCATATCTTTTATAGACACAAACATTATATGTTTCTTTACTTTTCGGATCTAACATTATACAGCAATATGTACATGATTTGGTGCAGAGGCGATACGCCCTAAGTGTCCTTTATGCAGACAAAACTTGGTACAATGCATGACCGATATAGGTTGCCCCATTTGTATGGATACCTATAATCTGATGATATTTATAATCGAATCAATCCAAGGGCTCTATTAAGTCGTACATAAGGAGCTTAGATTACTGCAGAGGTAGTTTCTGCTAAGTTATTACCGCTTTGGCACACTTGCGTTTCCACAGTGCTAATGGCGTTTTGAGTTTCGTTTAGTTGCAACGTTTATACGAGAACACAAGCACCTCCGTTGATTTATTCATATCATAAACGAGAAAGTTTTGATCTATTTCGATAATTAATGTAATTGCAGAGCGGGGTGTGGCGTTGTGTACGTTTGACTCTACATCAAAATGTTACATTTTTAGAGCTTAATCCGTTCAAGCATTGCGTAACTAAAACATAATTCTGTTTCGGTTTTAGACTCATTCTGAGACAGGCAACACAGTTTGATTTATTTGTAGTACTACCTCGAGAACACCTGACGGAATTCGTTAATTCGCAACAGGTAATAAATATTAAAAAGCCTCTTCAGAAGGATGCGGGTGAACGGCTGGGAAACCACACGGCAGCTGGCACCCGCCGATACCGACGCACGGTGCTGCCGCGCCTCGCCTCTCCAAAATACTTTCTACGCATAACATCACCAGGTTTTCGATTATCTTGCCTTGCAAACTTTTCTCATTAAATTTTACTTTTCGCCTATACCATCTCACTTGAATCAAAGTTCAATGACCTCTTCATTACTTTTCATATCGCCAAATTAACTTCAAGTTTAATTTGAACTAATTGTCGTTTTATGAAAACGATATTGTAAAAGCCTTGCTTGCCGTATTTTAATTAATACTCCGAAATGTTTTTAAGGTATTGAGAACGCTCACTATTGTTTTAGGATTGATTTTAATTTAATGTAAGTAAATGAAAAAGCTGCCTTTACATATAACGATACTGTTTTGTTGAATATAAGAGGTGGGTACTAAACCTTGGTTTGTTTTTTCAAACCATCGGTACGAGCTCTTTACGGGTTCATGGTCACGGTTCACACTACAGCGTTCCTAAATAAGACAATTACATTTTTTTTATTTGAAAACCGATCTCTAAAGTTTGTGTCTATATTAGTCATATCGAAAGCCAAGTCTTATTAAAATCGGTTACCGGAAAGTGCGTGAAATCCAATTTACCGAAATCGTCCTCTAATTTGTCGCCCTTAGAGGTGGAATATTTTCTTTCAATTTGAATATGTCCACTATTGAGATGCCCCATTTCCAAAAAAAAAGAATCATCGAAATCAGTTCACAAATGTCATAGTAATAGTGAAAGAGCTCGTCGAGGGTAGTAATAGCCACCTTACCTATTTCTGCCCCCAAGCAGTAATGTGAGCATTATTTTTGAAAGGTAAGGGGGCTAGTGAAATTGTCAACTTATATCTCAGGGCAATGGGCGCAGTGTCAATGCCCCCAAATCTTTGCGATTTAAAACTCTGAGCGACACAGCAACATTTCATATAAGTATCATAAAAAACATAAAGAAGAAACAAAACAGTCGAACCGTCGAAAAAATAATTTCATTTACAAAGAGTAACCAATGCAAAAACAATTTCTGAATTCAATGTTTCAATTGTAACGTAGCCATTTGCACAAGAATTTACGTACTCAGCTTCCCATACGACAATTTCATTAACGTACTTGCTTCTTTGTTTTTCACAATTCTCCTCAGAACGTAAGGTCGCGAGACGAAGTGATTAGTATCTTGGCATCTATCTAGACTTTGATATTAATGCCAGTGTCGTCGTATCTTTAACTTTTCAGACATTAGCATAAGTACCATACAGTCTATATTGCAGACCAACTCTCAAAATGTAAATACAATGGAAGCTCGTTTAGATGCGACATTGCCACTGTACACAATACTTGAACTTGAGCCGTTGGCGTATATTTACTTTGTGCTTTTCAAAACAATTCTAGAAATTACTAGTTTACTTTTGAACCATGAAGTGATAGCTATAGTTTTGACTTCTGCTAAGATCAAGGCTGTAACTTGAATATATGTATATTTCTCTTGATTCCTTCAAACGCCTTGATTTCTTAACTCCTTAGTCTGGTGTTTTCTGTCCATTGTCTTCGTTTATTTCCTATCTGTGTAAGCATGTAATTTAATATACATTCTAATGATGTATGTATATATGTTTATTATTGTTTTATTGACGTGTATTGTAGTTTATTAAAACACTTCCATTAGGAGATTATTCTTTGGTTGCACACTTTCCAGCTCTTAAATTACTGTCCTTGAACATTGGTACCTTTGCCTTGTACATATGCTTACTCTGTGATAGTTACATTACTGTTCCATGTCATTGTAATTCTTTATTTCGTTTCATTCATTGTTTTATTGTTAAGCGTTGAAATATTCCCGTGGATATTTAATTTGGGATTTGGTAGGTGGAAGTATGAATTATTACAATTTTCAAACCTATAGACAGTTCGCTCTTGACAACATGATGTTTATAATCTCTACCTAATTTCTAAGAAGTGCTCTCGAATGGTGCCCTAATTCCGCTACTCAAATATCAAAAAGATTATCTGTACAATCTCTTTATCGACTTCCTGCAGATTAAAACCATGAATCCAACCAACTCGTATTCCCTTTTCGTGGAACACGCGACGGATTTAAATACAATCTAAATATGTCTATTAAAAGTCTTCAATTTGTATTAATATTCCTTCTGATCATATACAATCACTATGATGCCCTACCATCACACGAATAGACAAGAACTGGTTCATAATAATTTGTTTTTCTAAATTGATACATCGGGTAGTTGACTCAGGGTCTACATTAATGTTTTGGTATTAACTCTAATGACCTAATGGTACAAAGTGATGTGCGTCGTGTTGCTTAAGATCCCGATCACTGCAGTATTATCGACAGCGGTTGTAGTATCGCATCCGTTGTTGATAATTACGTGTACTCGCATTTCGCCAGCTGTAGGTCACGTGACTTGTGCGATACGACTCCGACACGCTGACTTGACGATTTGTCGTATGATGTCATGCACCTTGACTCGATCGGTTAATGATGAATCATTTTAATTTGGAGAGTTTACTGTCTAGTGAAAATTGTTAGGCATATTTCTGATCTTTTTTTTTCAAATTGAAATTCATGTTTTGGAGTCGATTGGAAATTAAACCATTTCTTTTTTCAAATCTAAATCATTGCAACACCTAGTTTAAATATTAGATTTAACTGGTTGATGACTAACACCATCTCTGTTAGCCGTGATTATGGACTTTTATAGAGCCAAAAAGGTTGATTTTTTAGAAAACAATAGTAATGAATAGTAGCATTAGAGTTCCTTGTGGCAGTTCGTTTTGAAAGGTGAAGGTAAGAAGAAGGCTCAATTGAAAATAAATTAACATTTAAAGGTCTGTTTTATAACCGGTGACACGGCTCACATTTATTCTTCTAAAATATAAAAAAAACATAGTATCCACTGCTGGCTTCTAATATTTTTTTTTTTAAATATATATCTAGTGAGGGAACGAACAAGTCGTACGCCTGATGGTAAGCTTCATGGCTGTCAACTGCAACTGTGCAGTGCTATTCAGAGCTGTAAATCGCAAAGATCTGAGATGCACTGCCACTGCGCCCATCACCCTGAGACATAATTAAGTTGACAAGTCCCATGTGCCTGTAATTTCAACAGAATTTAGTTTTAAGGCTTCTTCGACTATAGCTTCTTAATAATTTACTTTATATATTTGGTGAATTTACTAGCTCATGGTTCTTGTCAACTTTTATGTCTCTAGGTGAGTGACAGTGGCGGTGCCACTCAGATCTTTGCGATTTAAAACTCTCGAAACAAATATACGCTATTCAAGTCCGACAAACATAGATTCAGTGTAGAAAAATGATACATTATGAACTAAAATGCAACGCACTCGGTGTATCCAAATATTTGAACTCCAGATTAACGATAATCAAAATGAACCTGGAATTAAAACCCTCGTAAAAAGTGTAAGCACACCCAAAACACCATAAAACCAAGAATGAAAGTCGATAAATAGAAAATTTATTATCTATTCCGCTGAGTTTAATTAACTTAAGAGTTCTACCAAGTTTATAATCATTTTTGCAAGTTTTGAGTGACTTTGACAGTTACGTTGAGGAACTCCTTCATTGGCGGGTATTTAACAAAACAAAATCCATCTTCATTCAGTTTAATTTACCTATTCAGCCACGTTGAGGCTAAAATTATAACAAATCCATCAAAAAGACGAGTTTTGATGAGGGCAATGATAGGGACGCTATCTCTTTTCATAATCTTCATGCGACTCGTGGGACGGCGGCCGCGGCGGCAGGCGGGCGGCTGCCGCACTACGAGGCAGCTTTTTATAAATTCCCTTGATTTCGTCCACGTCTCGGGTTCGACAATAACATCCA